AGTTCCAAACTCCCGACGGAGTGTGTAGAAAAAGAGCAAGCCGGTACGAGTGAAAGTTGGGTTACGGTTGCCTCCAAGAAGAGCCGTCATGTAAAATTAACGTCACCCCCAAATGGATCTGAAACTGAGGAGCGTAGCGGAGTTTTCCTAGTGCAAGCAGCACCGGTTTCCTGCGGTACATCTCCGGGTACTTCAATCACTAACCGCGACATGTCGTAAGGTGTAAAGAAACAACTACCTGTACTGAGCGTACTGTGCTCCAATATCCCAGAATCAAAGTCGACTTCGATAAGAGCCAGGCAGTTGGATGACCTCAACCAGCGGGACATTATTAGTAACCTAATCGGAGTGTTACTGAAACCTTTGCGGCACAGTAGCTGAGGTGTTCCCCTACCTCTAGCTATCGTGTATGATGATGATGATGTATTGAAACCTGTACACGTAGTGCGTATTACACGACACCCCAACTCTAAACATTTCGGTGAGCCAAGACTTCTGCGCGTTGTGCTGGACTCCATCAGTGAAGTAGAATCAGTACTACTGTCGACAGGTAGTCTAGGAAATGAACACTGCTCCATCCGTATCTTTCCAGACATCCCATGGGGCAAACGTTATCGAGTTAACCGCATCTTAGAGGACTACCGGAAGGAAACTTCGACCGGAACCATACTTCTTCGCGGGGTTCCTGAAACTGAAGCATGGGATGAGCATGAAATAATAGCCCATGAGAACGAACAGTTGTGTTATATTTGCAAAACATTGCTTGGATAATGTGTTAGCGAAATCCGTGTCACGACTGCGTACCTCACCGAACTACAAAGGAAGTGGCCCGAGAGTGTTGAAGGTGGTCCTTCAGTCAAAACACATCGCAGCACGGATGCTGAAAAGCTGGTACATGTTCCGTTGCAGGCTACCATCTGAGGTTCAGCTGAAGACAATCAGCGATATGCCTCCTAGAGATGATATGTCACTCAAGGAACCAAACGCGATGGGATCTATGAAAGAACAATGCACCAATAGTGTGGCGAATGAGCCCATACAACCTGTAGAAGATGATATTAACCAGACACCTTACAGAGTACGTCAAAGATTAGACACGGGACTAACTATAAGGATAATGAATAAGACGTTAAACCCTTCACCAAGTACACATCGAAAAAACGACTAGTCGCCGACCACTCACTGGTCAGCGAAACTTCACGTATAAGTTGTACAACCTCCGAAACATTGCTTAAATCTGGGAAACTTTTATATATGTACACTAACGCCCAAGGGTTCCTCAGTAAAATTAACGAACTTCGACTACGTCAGGTTGCGAATGCTTGGGAGCTAATTTTCAATACCGAAACTTGGTTACATCAAGAGGTTACTGATGCTGAGATTGAGATAGCCGGAATGTCACTCATCCGGAACGACCGCCCCAGCAGAGGAGGTGGGGTCCTACTCTACTACTATGTACAATAGTTGATGATCTGGAAATACACGTTACCGACTCACTCTGCTGCCGTCTCCGACTGAGACACAACGACGCATGTCTCGTAGCTATCGTTTACCGCCCCCCAACGTCCACTCTGGAAATGGATTCCTGCATGATCCGTGGCCTAAACAGAGTAACAGGCACTAGGTACAGCCACATTTTCATCTCCGGGGACTTCAGCCGACAAGATCTGGAGGTTTCGGCATCACCCAGTGAGCAGTTCAAAGCAGACTTGCATGAACTGATCGCTAATATTCCCTCGTACAATCATGTCACCACGCCCACTAGATTCAGGACAGCAAACAAACCGTCCATATTGGACCTTGTGCTCACGAATGAAGAGCTCATGATTGACAAGTTATTGATGGATAGTCCATTAGACCTCAGTGACCATGTAGTAATAAAGTGTAACCATGTGTGTTATGCAGTATCCATCAGAACACTCGGAACTAACTCATACAATCACACGCTACCACGTATTGAAAGAACTCGCCGACGCAGCTGCTTGGGAATTCTCGAACAAAAGTCCCCTTGACAACGTTTGGGCAGAGTTCGTTAATAAGCTCAGCGACGTCGTCAACAGGGCATCAGAGACCAAACCCTGTCATCCCGCGAAAATGCCTTCAATTATAAGGAGCATGACTCGAAAATGCTTGGCGATAAGGGATGCAGAGTGGCGTGCCTACAAGATTAACCCCGACTCAGGGACTTGGTGAAATATCCTGACCCATCGCAACCATTGCATCGCACTTGTCCGTGAGAACAAAATAACGTATCAACAGAGCCTAGCCAAAATGTTCATGGCAAACAACAAACTGCTGTATAAGCATGTCAATAAGCTTCGTAAAGTGAAGCATAGAATCCATCCACTATTCACAACAGGCGGTAGAGTACAAAGCGCCGAAGAAGCAGCTAATGCCCTGCGGCTACAATACGCCCCAATTTTTGAACTCGCAACATCTACCTGTCCCATAATACCAAGCTCATTACCGACACCTTTGTTTACAAGTGTTATTTTCAACTCAGCAATTGTGCTAAGGAAGTTACTCTCACGGCATAAACATAGTTCTCAGGGAGCAGACAACATCCGCCCGAAGGCACTGAAGGCTGTGGTCAACAAGCTAGCTGAACCACTGTCACAATTCTTTCAAAGGTGCTTTGACGAACAACAAGTCCCCACTATGTGGAAGTGTGGCATCATCACTCGTATTTTGAAAGGCGGTAGCCGTTCAGATCCTGCAAACTATCGTCCAGTGACTCTCCTCCCTGTGCTCGCGAACGTGATGGAAGCAGTCGTCGCTGAGGCTTTAATGGACTACCTGGAAAAAATATAACATCTTGGTAGCGGAACAGCATGGCTTCCGTCAACACCGGTCATGCACCACCAACCTACTTATTGCACCAGGTAGTTGGACGGAAGTGGCCGATGATGGGGTCGGAGTCGACGTCATCTATCTGGTCTTCTCCAAAGCTTTCGACCGCCTTGCTCACCGCATGCTACTTCAACTGCTACAGAGTTACGGAATCGGAGATCCTGTACTTGGTTGGATTGGAAACTTCCTTTACCAACGAAAGCTCCAAGTACGTGTTAGGGGATCACTTTCTAACCCAGTTGAGGTGGAATGTGTTGTTTCGCAAGGCTCAGTGCTGGGACCGCGCTTATTCCTGGTGTTTATCAACGACCTGGCATCAGTTATCTTCTCAAATTTCCTGCTTTACGCCGATGACGTCAAGATATGGCAGGCGAGTAGTAAGAAGGCAGATCAGGATCTGCTCCAACATGACCTAGGTTGCATTTACGAAAGGGCACAGAGGAACAAGCTTCAATTGAACATGGCTAAGGGCAAGTTGATGCATCTGCGTCACCAGCTAGTGAGCACTTACAAGATTGGAGACCACAACTTGGAGAAGGTCTCGCAGGAGCGTGACCTGAGTGTATTGGTACAGGAAGATCTCGGGTGTTCAAAACTAGCAGAGAAGGCGACGAGAACCTGCAATCAACACTTCGGACTTCTTCGCAGTGCCTTCGGTCGGTTTGAACCCTCAATCTTTCCCCAAATGCATAACACCTACGGGCGACCGCAAGTGGAATATGCCATTCAGGCGTGGCAGCCGTGGCAGAAACAAGATCTCGTTGCTCTCGAGACTCCTCCACGAAGAGCATCCAAGAATGTCAGAAGCCTCTTTCATCTGCCCTATCAGCTTAGAATGAAATCTCTAAGAATGTACAGCAGTCAATATCGGCTTTTGCAGAGGGATCTCATAATGGTTTACCAGATTCCGAAGAATCCAAACCACATTTGCCGTCCGCTGGTGGAATTGAACCACAACATTAAACTAAGAGATTACCCTCTGAAACTGACAATTCAGTATAGCCGGCTTGAATGCCGTAGAAATTTCTTTTCCCTCCACAAGTGCCAGCCTTGGAACGCCCTCCCTAATTATGTCGTCTCTGCATCAAATTTGGCGATATTTAAAAAACATGTTGACGATGCGTTTTCTCACTTACATTTCATTTTATGACTTGTTGGCCAAGGGCTAAAAAACGCAACCAAACGGTGTTTTGCCAAACACCTAATTAATGGATTTATGGATCTATACGTTTAATACGCGAATATCGCCGCTACTCCACATAAGTCTATGGTGAGTCCACCACAACGCATTTCACTTTATTATGCAATTGATTTTCGCAATCATTTCCATCCCAAGGGACATGTTAAGCAATGCTATTTTACCCGTAATAAACCAATGTTCCATAGTCCGCATGGACAGTTTCATGCATTCATAGAAGAAACGTTGGGGATGTTTTTGGTTGATCGCCATAGACAGGTGGTGGCGTATGTGGTTGGTGGCATCCCGTCTCAAATTTGCCTATCACTGTGGCCAGCCACAGTACGCCTGCGCCTACACAGGGACTATGGGTGGCTTGCGCTACACCAACCACAGCTCCAACCACACACCCCATATCCAGTGTAAACCCGAAGGAATAAGACCGGGAGGTATGTGGATGGGAGCCACGTTTCAGCAACGGAGCCGGCCCACACTCCTTCACAGGCAAACACAAGCATGCTGTATTTGGTGAATCATGCGCACACAAGACGGGGGCTGGATCGTAGTCCGCTTCACACTGAGTGCACGGAATCGCCTTTCGAGGTTGGCACGGGCACAAGGACCGTGCACCCTATCCCCTCCAGCAACGACCAACCGTCTCCTGGAGCCAGTATGGACGAGGTAGTGGGTAATAGACAGGTAGGCACCTTGTCAACATGCACATCAAGCGCAGCCATATCGGGGATATCAAGCAACAGCCAATCACTTGAAACGACAAGACGAAATAAAATAAATCCAATAATGCATACAGATACCGTGGCATAACTCTTCGCTAAATTAGCATATGAAGTAAGTTGGTTAGCAACGAATCCGTAGCTCTATATATGTGAAGCAGTACGAGGAACAACAGGTTGCAAGAGCTGACTGAGTTTCAGCCTATCGCTAATTTTGTTACAATATTTTCTTTACCCAGGAAACATGCGCCGGCTCCGTTATGGGACTACCCACGAATCGTCAGCAGACCAATCCTTGCTGTGACAATCGTGGCACTCAAACGTAACCTATGCCCGGGTCTATCTTCATAACCTTTTATCAGTTTACTCAGTGCAGTTAACGGTTTAAGTAATCGGTATTTTTAACGGCATTTGGACAATGAAATTCAACGACATTGAGCTGCTGTCACATAGGGAGATTTCATTTATCTGCTTTGTTATTTTCACTTTGACTATCTATTTGTATCTTGCCTCGAGTACCTCAAACACACTTCCCTCCCCTGACAGCGATGTGTCAAATCGCTGTGAGACAAATTATTTTTACAAACCTTAGTCACATCTAATCTTTAGCCACAATACTTCAGCTCCCAGACCAAAAGCATTTTTTCACTATGAATCTCACATAAACATAATTTATGTTAGGAACACGTGGCTCACGATTACTTCTGACCTTAAATACTACGGAATTGATCCCATCAGCACATATGCCCCACAACAAACATTCGTCTCAAGATCGACAGCATAGTGAGAACTAACGCGTTTTCTTGATGCAGTCTAGTGAATCAGAAAGATGCTTCATCATGACAATTATTATTTCACAAACAATGCAATTTATTTCAAATCGAAGACTTCTGTACAGATTTACAAAACCAAAAGATGATCTTGGTGCAAAGCATCGTTCGGATAAAATGCATTACTAATGTGTGAACCGATTTGGTCAAAGCATTGAGGGGGAATATGGTATGGCATGAATATCGGTTATGGTTAACATATCTCTGATACATCTATATTTTAGCTTGGCAATTAGCCCACGCATTAAACAACAGCGAGGTGGAAGTCGTTACCAATTCGTAGTAAACCGCCATGCTTGCAAGTGAAGCACAACTATCAGAGCTCTGGTGCAATTAGAGCGACAGAAGTAATGAAATAACAGCTCCCAATGGTTGATGAACAGGAGATGTTTTCGCCAATAAATTGGAGTGGAATTCACTCGAAGCCAATGAGCAATCGTTCTCCCATAGTTGCTTTTTATGAACGTTCTCACTTTCACACCAAGTTATCGCGCTGGAATCACATATCGAGAACATCGGTAGAATTGATCCAATTCGCAAATCACGAATGTAAATAAATTATTTGGTTATCAATTCAGCACTAATTTGGAAACGAGATATATGCCTTAGTAGCGTAAACTAGTTACTTGGGTGGCGCTGTGTGAGTGAAAGGCTTAAGGGCTGAGGTTGGCCAAGAAACGGTATACTTCTAAAAGGGGTACAAATGTTGATGAGTGATTCGGTTTGCCACGCTCGGTCCGCGTAGATGTTTCAGCGCATCTAATTAGTATAAAAATAACTCTAATGTTGTCGTCTTGAGGCAAAATAGATGTTTTTCGGGACGGGTGTATTTGTGGTTCATTAACGATATATTATGTCCATGGATTCTAATATTGGGAAAGTCCTTCTCAGGTTTCGGCTTCATTCTTACTGATTTTCTATGTTAGGATTCAGCGGGGATCCTCTGGAGACCATGCTCCAACTTAGTTCAGATGCAAAGGGCGTAATGAATGTGGTGTTTCTAAAATTCCCCCCACTTTTACAGATTCAACCACTCTGTTCCTTCCCTTGGAAATGCGTCAAAAAAGTTAGTGTCATATAGCTCTTCAATCCGTTGTACCCAATCGATGACCTTCGACTCTTTAGTAGGAAATGAGTCATCTATACCTACCTAGGATGCGAGGCAGCAGCTAGCGTTCGAGCTGGTTGGTTGATCCTCTGCGTTGCGTAGCTCGTATTATTCAGATTTCGTGGTGCTTGAGGATGCATACCTATCTGACGATGCGTTTTGGCCCATTGGCCTGCCTTGTAATCCTGAGATCGTGGGTTCGGGTATGCAGAGGGGACCGCACGACTATTGCAGTATCTTTAGCCTAAGTGCTACCGGTGGTGATTGCGTAGCAGCGAAGCGTCGGTACTGCGGACTGCTGATGCTTCTGCCTTTTATTCGGGAGATGACGTCAGGCTCACTAGTTATACATGCAAAAACCGGATAGTCCCACTTCTGCCTACGTTCAGGTGCCCAGTATGGTGAAATCATCGACGTATTTTCAGGATTGTTGGAACGTTCATCGTTGATCCTTCCAGTAACTATTGCGCCGTTTCTACTTAGTATGTGAACTCAAGGGATATTCAGTAGCTTTACGCGCAAAATGTACTAGTGATTAGTGAGGATGGGTAGACAAACCGTGGCTTTGCCGCCATTTTTAAAGCGTCACGATTTAGACGCACAAAGGTGTGAGTAGCGCTTGATAGTAACGATTCTTGGTTAAAAGACGGTGACCTTCTGGGTACACCGAGCCCTCTGACTTCCCCAGACAGGTAAATCAACGATAACCCAGTGTATACAAGTCAAACCTGTCTAAGGCGACCACTCAAGTGACAGACAAAAGTAGACTGACCGTACTGACAACGTAAATAACAGAACGACGTTTTACCATAGAGGGTGAGTCATTCAAATGGCTCGTAACATTTGCTCAACAAGCGTGATGCCCAGTGTGCCACAGACTAAAGACCTATGTGGATCATGTTCCAAACTTGTTAGGGGGGGCATTTGGTGCCGTAACTACTGCAAGTTTTTCCATGCGAGATGCCTCAGAGTTAAACTTAGTCAGGCCAAGTTATTAAACAAACCAGACTCGCCATGGTTCTGTGTGGAATACACATCGATCCCACTGATAAAAAGCGTGCTCCTATTATCACAGAAGTATGACCAGCTACTAGCCAAGTTTGAGGAAATGGTGACCACTAAAATCACTAAAATAAGATCACTACGGTTGGGGTAAGCATAGCGGACTGTGCAACCCAATCCTCCCCCTTGGTTGCTGCTCCTACCCCGCGAAGAACTGTTAATAACACCGTAAGCAACGCGACACCTAGAGTCCAGAACATCAACAGCTGTTCCAATACCACACATAGCTCACATTTGACTAAAGCAGTTCCCAGTTCGATCGGAGTAACTACACGTAAGGCTAGTTCCAAACTCCCGACGGAGTGTGTAGAAAAAGAGCAAGCCGGTACGAGTGAAAGTTGGGTTACGGTTGCCTCCAAGAAGAGCCGTCATGTAAAATTAACGTCACCCCCAAATGGATCTGAAACTGAGGAGCGTAGCGGAGTTTTCCTAGTGCAAGCAGCACCGGTTTCCTGCGGTACATCTCCGGGTACTTCAATCACTAACCGCGACATGTCGTAAGGTGTAAAGAAACAACTACCTGTACTGAGCGTACTGTGCTCCAATATCCCAGAATCAAAGTCGACTTCGATAAGAGCCAGGCAGTTGGATGACCTCAACCAGCGGGACATTATTAGTAACCTAATCGGAGTGTTACTGAAACCTTTGCGGCACAGTAGCTGAGGTGTTCCCCTACCTCTAACTATCGTGTATGATGATGATGATGTATTGAAACCTGTACACGTAGTGCGTATTACACGACACCCCAACTCTAAACATTTCGGTGAGCCAAGACTTCTGCGCGTTGTGCTGGACTCCATCAGTGAAGTAGAATCAGTACTACTGTCGACAGGTAGTCTAGGAAATGAACACTGCTCCATCCGTATCTTTCCAGACATCCCATGGGGCAAACGTTATCGAGTTAACCGCATCTTAGAGGACTACCGGAAGGAAACTTCGACCGGAACCATACTTCTTCGCGGGGTTCCTGAAACTGAAGCATGGGATGAGCATGAAACAATAACCATTGATAAAGAACAATTGTGTTATATTTGCAAAACATTGCTTGGATAATGTGTTAGCGAAATCCGTGTCACGACTGCGTACCTCACCGAACTACAAAGGAAGTGGCCCGAGAGTGTTGAAGGTGGTCCTTCAGTCAAAACACATCGCAGCACGGATGCTGAAAAGCTGGTACATGTTCCGTTGCAGGCTACCATCTGAGGTTCAGCTGAAGACAATCAGCGATATGCCTCCTAGAGATGATATGTCACTCAAGGAACCAAACGCGATGGGATCTATGAAAGAACAATGCACCAATAGTGTGGCGAATGAGCCCATACAACCTGTAGAAGATGATATTAACCAGACACCTTACACAGTACGTCAAAGATTAGACACGGGACTAACTATACGGATAATAAATAAGAAGTTAAACCCTTCACCAAGTACACATCGAAAAAACGATTAGTCGCCGACCACTCACTGGTCAGCGAAACTTCACGTATAAGTTGTACAACCTCCGAAACATTGCTTAAATCTGAGAAACTTCATATATGTACACTAACGCCCAAGGGCTCCTCAGTAAAATTAACGAACTTCGACTACGTCAGGTTGCGAATGCTTGGGAGCTAATTTTCAATACCGAAACTTGGTTACATCAAGAGGTTACTGATGCTGAGATTGAGATAGCCGGAATGTCACTCATCCGGAACGACCGCCCCAGCAGAGGAGGTGGGGTCCTACTCTACTACTACAGCAATTACTGCAATGTACAATAGTTGATGATCTGGAAACACACGTTACCGACTCACTCTGGTGCCGTCTCCGACTGAGACACAACGACGCATGTCTCGTAGCTATCGTTTACCGCCCCCCAACGTCCACTCTGGAAATGGATTCCCGCTTGATCCGTGGCCTAAACAGAGTAACAGGCACTAGGTACAGCCACATTTTCATCTCCGGGGACTTCAGCCGACAAGATCTGGAGGTTTCGGCATCACCCAGTGAGCAGTTCAAAGCAGACTTGCATGAACTGATCGCTAATATTCCCTCGTACAATCATGTCACCACGCCCACTAGATTCAGGACAGCAAACAAACCGTCCATATTGGACCTTGTGCTCACGAATGAAGAGCTCATGGTTGACAAGTTATTGATGGATAGTCCATTAGACCTCAGTGACCATGTAGTAATAACGCGTAACCATGTGTGTTATGCAGTATCCATCAGAACACTCGGAACTAACTCATGCAGTCACACGCTACCACGTATTGAAAGAACTCGCTGACGGAGCTTCTTGGGAATTCTCGAACAAAAGTCCCCTTGACAACGTTTGGGCAGAGTTCGTTAATAGATTCAGCGACGTCATCAACAGGGCATCAGAGATAAAGCCCCTTCGTCCTGCAAAAATGCCTTCAATTATAAGGAGTAGGACTCGTAAATGCCTGGCGATAAGGGATGCAGAGTGGCGTGCCTACAAGATTAACCCTGACTGAGAGGCTTGGGGCAACTTCCTGCCCATCGAAACCATTGCACTGCACTTGTCCGTGAGGACAAGGTAACTTATCAACAGTGCGTAGCCAAAAAATTCCAGGCAAACATCAAACTGCTGTATAAGCATGTCAATAAGCTTCGTAAAGTGAAGCATGGAATCCATCCACTTTTCACGACAGGCGGTAGAATACAAAGCGCCGAAGAAGCAGCTAATGCCCTGCGGCTGCAATACGCCCCAATTTTTGAACTCGCAACCTCTACTTGTCCCATAATGTCACCATTGTTCACAAACGTAATTTTCAACCCATCAATTGTGCTAAGAAAGTTACTCTCACTGCGTGAGCATAGTTCTTCGGGAGCAGACAACATCCGCCCGAAGGCACTGAAGGCTGTGGTCAACAAG